CTCATGAGTTAAACAAGGAAAGAGTCTTTCCTTCTGCAGTTCCAATTGAATTATTTTTTTTTCCTTTCTAAAAGATTTGTATCTTTAAACCAAACTATTGGAGTGCCTGCTTTTTCTGTCTTTCCATGTCTTGTCATTAAATCAGATTGTAACAGTTTGTCAGCAAAAGCTAGATTTAAGCATTTTCACTGCAATGTGTGAAAGATGAACATTTGTTTCGGTGAGTACTGTGCCAATCAATAATCCTTCAGCTTGACTAGGCTATCAATTATTGCTGCAATTATTTGTCTAGTTGGATATTTAAAATGTCATCCGAAAAAGATGATTACATATTCCAGAAAGCCCTGCACTGTATAATCAAATGAACTCGGTCTTGTTAAATGTAGTGTTGTAGTAACCTGTCCTTCAAAGCTGTGTTCTACAGTGGCCAATAAAAATGGCACCTTCTCACTGCTGTGTGCTTAAAAGCTGTTTTTATTTTGAAAGAGGGAAGAATATCTTTGGGAAAGAAAAGGCAATTTGACACATGAGAGAACCTTTTTTCCCTCAATAAAATATTCTGTTGAACCTTTAGATACATATTCATACAATACTCATAAATACTGTGTGTATATATATACACACACATACATAGGCAAGGTATACTTATACTTATGTATCTTTGCTTTATACCTCCTTCAAACCCTTAAGAAATATCTTAAGGTCCCCGAACAGTCTCATTTTTATAAAAATGTTCAGCACTCAACAGACATCAGATACAGCATCATTTTTTTAAAGAAAGTCCGGAGGGCATAAGACATTCAGTTTAATTTATGGTGTACACTTTTTGAGCCTAGTACAATGCTGAAGGTATTGCATATTTAACAGTTAAAACTTGCATGGAAAATCTATAATCATATTAAATATGAAGCAATTTTAATAATTGTTATATCCAAATAAATTTTACACTAGGAATGTAAAATGCAGAAAATACCTCTTGCATGATAATAGAAAAAATATAGTAGGTTAAACCCAGTGCAGGTGGCAACAATTAACTGTAATTTTTGCAGATTGTAATGATCCATAATTTGCCAACCAAAAATGGCCTTTTGCATTTCCCCCCCAAGAAGTTCTTTCCTGCTTTGATTTTGCACACATTTTTCAGCTGTTGGTCTTTTACTAAATTGTCATGACAGATCCAGGGTGCCATAGGTTTAAAAGAAGAATGTGACATTATTTTACTAAATTAGCCACCCTGCTTTCCTGTCTGCACTTGATTGACATATTGTGTAAGAGTGTGAAGGTATTTTGTCCATTTGTTCGTTTGTCTGTAGATTGTGTGAAGTTGTACAAATTGTAAAATTAAGTAGTGTGTATTGTGGTATTTAACCTTCTCCCCACTAAAGAATAAATTTGTTAAGAAAAATGTATTTCTTGTAGGATTCACCTACAGCTTTAATTTAAAAAACCTGCTGATGATCGGTCACATGATTGTAATATTATTGGCCTCTTTTTGTTTCCAGAGAATTGCTGTGAATAATCTGTCCACAGTAGTTAATAAATCTTGCACTGTACACCTACATTGAACCTTTGTCATGATTAAACCTCATTTGTTATATCAGATGGTCCTCCCTGTACTGTTTCTATAACTTGAAGCACACAAGCATGAAAGAATCCAAATAAAATGCACTTTATTTCAAGTGTACGAGTACTGTATAACACATGTGGTTGAAACAAAGGGAATGAATGGTACTGTACAGCCATAAAAGGGTGGTGTTAGTGAGAATTTGAGAAATCTCAAACATTTGTATTAAAAGGACTGTGTGTGAGCACTGTTGTGTTCTGGAATCTCTCCATTATATAGATCATCATAAAGGGTTGTCTTATTACATGGTTTGGTGGCTTTTGAAGACTTCAGACAGAACCCCTCAAGTAAAAAGCAGAGATAAAAGGAAATATATGCCAATGAGCAAATTCGGTGTCTTATACCTCTGTTCCTTTTTTTTCTCCCTTACATAGGATGTATTAAAGAGATGGAAAGAAATTGCATTTAAGGGGAGTTTTGAAGCTTATTGCTTACACATCAGATTACATCTGTTTCTCCTGACTTGTCACTGAATTCCAGCTAAATCTGGCTTTTTGTATGATGGTACTCTGATTTTTTATGACCATTTGACCTCTTGTTTTCATAGCTTAAATAAATTGCAATTACTGTAAAATGTAATACATCAGATGCATTTTCTCCTCATGAGCTCCAATTTGTAGGGTACAAGCTGACATTCGTTACTCAGTGTTAGATATCCATTTTGTTGCTTTTGTGGCAAAACTGGCTGAATTTGTGAAGCTTGATATCCAATATATCAGAAGGTTTGGGGATTTTAAACACACTCTTTTTGTTTACCTGTGGGCTCAGTGCTGTTGTTTTCAGTACTGATTTTTAGAGTGCTCTAAATTTTAAATTTAACTGGCCTAATTACAGCCAATCTGATCACTAGCACACATATGTTGCATCTACGTAGGATTGTTATTTTTGAAGCGTATTTTGGACAATTTAGCATTTAATTCTTAAGGCATGGTAAGTCAAATTAAACAGATCATTGGAACAGAAAATGGTACAAATGTTTTATGTGGCTTAAGTTGGTTACATCATATGACCCTAGACAGTGTTTTTAATATGCTTATTAATTCTTTAGACTTAATCAGGTGACCAGAACATTAGTTAAAAGCTTTTAGGAATGCTTTGGATTTTCTGTCTACACTCACATTTTGATGGAAGACAGATCTGCTTTTCAAATTTATCCTGTGCGGCTGTGCTTTTAAAAGACCTCAAGAAAAACTGCTTTCTTTTAAAACTGTTCCTGAGAATGCAGACAGCGTGCATAGAGCACACACAAGTTTTAACAGAATTGTTAATACTCCAAAGTTTTCAAATGCAAAATTGAACCACCAAAATATCAGATTAATTTCCAAAGCCTGGAATTAGTCGCCTTTTTCAAGTAACTTGGGTAGCACTGGGGGTTACTAGGGCTTTTCACATTCTTCGTAGAATGGATGAGATATAGCAGAACATTTGTAAAAATGAATATGGAAATATATGTATTGCAATAAAGAGATTGAAGTATAACCTTTTGGAGAAAATGTAGAATTTTTCTATCTAGTTGAATTCTAAATCTCTAGAAGTTACAAAATGGTAACTTTTTTTAACTATAAATGAAATTAGCACAATCTGATAAAAAACTTACCTTGCCACAGATTTTTCCTTTTTACTGTCTGCTTTGGATCCGAGAAACCACTGAAATACCTGAAATTTCTTGTGGCTCCAGAGTTCCAGATCAAGCCCAGGACATTTCTGTTGAATGGTTCCTTTAGCAAAGGTTTCTTCTAGTCTGCTGTATAACAAATATGAGGTTGTACTTCTAAAGAGAAAAGGCTCCTCTCTCAATGTTCAAACTTGGAGATTTAGGGAAAAGATGGGGGAAGCCATGACATTTCATGTTAGACATATTTGTACTAAAGGGGAAAGAATCATAAAGGCACATTTTTAAAAAAGTGTTTATTTCTCCTCCATTTGCTTAATGTTTAAAAGCTTAATTTCAGTTTGGGTTTATTATCTAATCTTGTAAATGAGTTCATAGAAGAGCTGGGTACATTTAATGAGATTACAAATGCATTGTGAAACAAATTACAGGTCAACCTGGAAGAGCCATTGAAAGTCAATTATTATTTTAAATGTTCCTTTGCCTTCACAATTGTGGGTATTGTTTATTCTGCGTAACTGTAATGTGTTCTTTTGCTGAGGCTTACCAAGGGGCTTTTTGTGTTTTTATTTTTACAAAGGCATAATTGATTTAATAAACAGAAATGTAGAACTGTTCTGAATTATTAAACGCTTTTGACTGTAAAGGCACTAATTTACTAAAAGCTGTGGTATAAAAATAATAGGTCATATCCCTCTATAGAGGTACAAGGTAATGTGTGGAGAAACATCACTGCTGTAAGACAAAGGATCAGTTATTCATCCATTAGGTAGCTTATTCAGTTTGGATTGAAAGGCCAGCAAGGTCCCTGGTAAATATTTCTTTTGTAACTTTGATCTGTGCCTGAAATCATCAACACAATATTTACATTTTTGCTGTAGGTAACTACAGTGATAACCTGGTTTTGAATATGTATTTCTTTTAGCTGTTACTGCAATTTGTTTCTTCTTGAGATCCACTACCTGTGGGAGTTTTTGACATACTCCACATATGCCTTTTTTGTATTCTAATGAAAGAGTGCATTCTGTTCAGAGGCCTCATTGTTTGCCTTTATTGTGGAGCTTTAAACTACTCACAGTAAGCATGCCTGAGAACAATTCTTACAGCGGCACGATGCCGTCTATTTGAATTCCCTGTACAGACCTAAAATAACAACATAGAAAATAGTCCGTGCCTTCTCTTGTAACATTGTTATGTTTTTATCTTTTCTGTTCAGTTTTGGGGTTTCGGCTATAGTGTTTTCTGATGTAAGTAGTTTTTAAAATGTAAGTTATATTCAAAACTATGTAATGCCTTTACCAGGTGACAAACTGCAGAGATAAGTCAGAAGTAGTAAAAATAGATACCGTATTTTGAAGATTCCTTTCTGACAGTGATTAAACCCAAATCTGATTATGTATTCTTTACCTTTGGCTGTTCCTAGTTAATTAAGGTGCCTGAAACATAACTAAAATCTACTAACCCTTTTCCCTTTCCAAAAGACTATGGGCAGACTTTCTACCTCAGCCTTTAAGGGGAGCTCAATCGCCACTTGTCAGTCACTTAGTAGGTTCAAATACAGACTGCTAAACAACGCAGCCCTGAAGGACTCTGACTTCTTGCAAAGTCTGTCTCACAGAAACAGACTTTTCTGTTTAGGAAGCTGTGTTTTTTTTTCAGTGACACTTTTCCAAACATGGGCAAGGGTTTTTTCCAAAAGCGTAACGAAACGAGAGAAAATGTTTAGGTCAGGAGACTCATGGAGGTCTTTCTTGTTTTTCCCAGGTAAAGATGAGCCCAGCAGCTATACTTGCACAACCTGTAAACAGCCATTCACCAGTGCATGGTTCCTACTCCAGCATGCACAGAACACTCATGGGTTCAGGATATACCTGGAAAGCGAGAATGGCAGCCCCCTCACCCCACGCGTGGGCATCCCTTCAGGCCTGGGTGCCGAGTGCGCCTCCCAGCCACCACTCCATGGGATCCACCTTGCAGACAACAGTCCTTTCAACCTGCTACGGATACCGGGCTCCGTTTCCTCCCGGGAAGCGCCAAGCATGCGAGAGGGCCGCTTCCCTCCCACGCCTCCTCTCTTCAGCCCCCCTCCTCGACACCACCTGGATCCCCATCGTATAGAGCACCTGAGCCCCGAGGACATGGCCCTGGCGACACATCACCCGAGTGCCTTTGACAGGGTGCTGCGGCTCAATCCCATGGCAATGGATCCGCCCGTGATGGATTTCTCACGGAGGTTGCGGGAGCTGGCCGGGAATACTTCTGGATCCACGCCTCCCCTGTCGCCCAATCGGCCCAGCCCTATGCAAAGGCTACTGCAACCATTCCAGCCAGGGGCCAAACCTCCCTTTTTGGCCACCCCTCCTCTCCCAGCCATGCAGTCTCCTTCGGGTTCTCAGTCAACTCCTAGCCAGCAACAGCAACAACAGCAGACACCCTTAAAGACCAAGTCATGCGAGTTTTGTGGAAAGACTTTCAAGTTCCAGAGCAACCTAATAGTTCACCGGCGGAGCCACACAGGAGAAAAACCATACAAGTGCCACCTATGCGACCATGCCTGCACCCAGGCCAGCAAGTTAAAGCGCCACATGAAGACCCACATGCACAAGTCCTCACCCATGACTGTCAAGTCCGACGATGGTCTTTCCACAGCCAGTTCCCCAGAGCCAGGTACTAGTGAATTAGTCGGCAGTGCCAGCAGCGCCCTTAAGTCTGTGGTGGCTAAGTTTAAGAGCGAGAACGATCATGGGTGCATGATCCCCGAGAATGGGGATGAGGAGGAGGAGGAGGAGGAGGAGGAAGAGGAGGAGGAGGAGGAAGAGGAGGAAGAAGGGGAGGAGATGGAGAATGATGGGGGCAGGAATGACTACCACTTTGGCCTCAACCTTGAGGCAGCCCGACACCATGAAAACAGTGGTGGGCGGCACATTGGAGGCGGGGAGGAGGGGATTCCTCGATCGCTTCCAGAGGTCATGCAGGGCATGGGCCTGGCAGCAAGCATGCAGCACTACAGCGAGGCCTTCCATCAACACAAGCGCGGAGTGCTGACCTCAGACACCGAGGTCCAGAGGGACATGTGTGATGAGGACTCTGTGGCTGGGGAATCTGATCGAGTAGACGATGGCTCTGGGTCCGCCATTAATGGCAGGGGGTCCTCTCCGGGTGAATCGGCCTCAGTGGGCATGTCCAAAAAGCTGCTGCTGGGTAGTCCCAGCTCCCTAAGCCCTTTCTCGAAACGCATCAAAATGGAGAAGGATTTTGACCTTCCCACCACCATACCCAACACTGAGAATGTGTATTCCCAGTGGCTGGCTGGGTATGCTGCTTCTAGGCAGCTCAAGGACCCTTTTCTGAACTTCGGAGATTCCAGACAATCGCCTTTTGCCTCCTCCTCCGAGCACTCCTCGGAGAATGGCAGTTTACGCTTCTCCACCCCCCCGGGGGAGATGGACGGAGGGGTGTCAGGCCGCAGTGGCACAGGGAGTGGAGGGAGCACCCCTCACATCGGGGGCCCCGGCCGGCCAAGCTCCAAGGACGGCCGCCGAAGTGACACATGCGAGTACTGTGGCAAAGTCTTCAAAAACTGCAGTAACCTTACGGTCCACCGGAGGAGCCACACAGGGGAAAGGCCGTACAAATGTGAGCTCTGCAATTACGCCTGTGCTCAGAGTAGCAAACTCACCAGGCACATGAAAACTCATGGCCAAGTGGGAAAGGACGTTTACAAATGTGAAATCTGTCAGATGCCTTTTAGCGTGTACAGTACCCTGGAGAAACACATGAAAAAATGGCACAGTGATCGCGCCTTGAATAACGATATTAAAACTGAATAGAGAAGTATTGATTACCCATCCGCCCATAAACGTTCCCTGTAGATTTCCCTCTTTTGGTAGTCCAGTGGAAGCTAAGAATAACGTGCTTGTCACCAGCACATCTTGTTTAGTTTACCGTCAAATGCATGATCTGTATCGGGGCAATACTATTGCATTTACGCAAACTTCGAGCCTTTCTCTTGTGCAATAATTTACATGTTGTGTATTTTTTTCTTTTTTGATTAGACAGCATGTATGGTATGTTTTGGCTAATTTTGAAAAAATTGTCCCTGGTTGGTTAGTTGTTGAGTAAATGTGTTGCTGTTTCCTTGTTACTTTTTATTTAAGAAAAAAAAAACACCATGCTGCATACATTCTGTAATACATATCATGTACAGTTTTGTGTTGTAACATGGAGGAAAACAGTCTATTGCTTAACCCTCTCTGGACGGGCTGGGAACCGCACTTAAACTAGTCTTTCTAAAAGATGATCTGTCCAAATGGGGTTAAAAATATCAATTGGGTTATTTACAATATAGCAGTGACAGCCTTGAATTTCTTAAAAAAAATAAAAATAGAAAAATGAATTAAAAGAAATTTGAATTTGTACTATCATTTGGTAAAAAAAAAAATCTGAGTGCCTTGGATATATTGAAACTGCATTGGTTAATCTTCCTATTTGTTATAAGCTTGGAGTCTCAGCTAGATACTGGAAGTGGGTCTTTTAGATCCTAAATAAGGTTCTTGCATCAAGCACCTGACTGCTATGGTCGACTGTGACTACAAAAAAAAAATTAAAATAAGCGAATAAAATTTCTAGTTAATCATCATTTAGCTACCTATTACATGTATATCTTTTAATTATGACTCTGTTTACTGGCATGGTACATGCTATACTGTGTGGGTTGTTTCTTTTTCTTTTGGTACCATACACACTGGTACTGTGAGTTGTTAATTCACAAACTTAAGCTCTTTTTTTACTGTTTTAATGTTTTTGTAAGTAGCACAAAAATAAAATGTATGTTGCCTGGATCTTCAGTGTGCAGCCCGAGCAGTATTACTGAATAAGGCACCTAAACAAGGGTATTCGCGTCCCTGTTAAGAATTTATCAGCGCTTAACGACACTGATGGGTAATGGGATGATCTAGAGAAGGGGAGGTCTATGTGTGAGGGCATGTTGAGGACTTGTTTTGTAAAGAAAAGCATTTGAAAATTGTCTGTTAGTGATGATTAACTATGAATTGCCCATACATGAAACATGAAACTGAAATCCTCAAAAGAATTTCATTCACAAGAGTTGCAGTACGTACGCCTGTGCTCCCTAAAAACAAACGATTTCTAAGTTTTCAAACACTGTGTGCTATTTGTGTTGACATAAAAAAGGATACTTTTTATTAAATTAGCATCTGCCCCGATTGATGTTAAGATAGCACTTGACACTCTGCCTGTTATGTCTGTATCCTTTTTTCTTTAATCAGAGGTACAGAGGTTGAGTATAAAATGACTGCTCGTATATAGGACAACTAAGTGCACTGTACAATTTTCCCAGTTTACAGGTATACACTTAAGGGAAAACTTACTATAATGCTGACATGAATATGATCTTGTTGTTTAGCATAGAGAAAAAGGCTTCTGCCAGCCATTTCCACACCTAGAAAGCCTGGCTCCTTGGACAAAAGGTAGCAGTGCTGTGAATGGAAATAGACTACCCTTCTATAGAATGAATGACCGCACACTCTACTTACAGTGCAAGAATTTTTGTACAAATTTTTTAAAATATAAATGTTAAAAGAATTTTTTAAAAGAACACTTCATTATCTTTAGGGGGAACTGTATTTAAGGTTTTTTTTTTCTTTGTCTTGGTGGTATTCAAGACCCGATCACATATATATAAAAGAAAAGAAATCTGTGATAGAGGACTTTTTTGTTTGTTTTTGCCTTGGCTGTACACAGCTCTTCAGGTTAAATAAAACTTGCATTGGGGAAAGGTTTAAGATTATATATAAATATATATATAGAACTTAAATATAGGAAAATGCACACTCATGTTGATTCCTATGCTAAAACACATTTATGGTCTACTTTTTTCTGTATTTCTAGAATGGTATTTGAATTAAATGTTCACCTAGTGTAGGCACTATAGTATTTATATTGAGGCTTGTATTTTTAACTGTTGCTTGTTCTCTTAAAAGGTATAAATGTACCTTTTTCGGTAGTGGAAAAAACAGGCTGCCACAGTATATTTTTTTAATTTGGCAGGATAATATAGTACGAATTATTTGTATGTTTCAAAAATTAAAAAAAAAAACAAACATGTGGCATTGTATAGATGAAAGGCCATATAATGGTCTCTTCAAGGAGTCCTTTCAGAATGTCCACAATAGCTAAAACAGATGGTTGTACATATCTTTTTATTTCTCCTGCTGCCATTATGTATGCAGTACTGCAAGCTAATGTTGGTTTGTTCTGTAGTGTGCTTTTTTGTCCCTCAACTTCTCTCACCCTACTACATTCCAGCATCTTTAAAGAAAACAAATTCATATGCAGTAAATAAAAAATATAAAAAGAATAAAAAAATAAATGTTTTGCAGGTTTTTTTTTCATTGCCAAAAACTAAATGGTGCTTTATATTTAGATTGGGAAGAATTTCATATGCAAAGCATATTTAAAAATGAAAATAAAGGAAAAGCCCGCTTGAGTTGATACTTTTTTGTAAATGGCAATGCGGAATATTTTGTTATCAGCCTTTTCTATTCCTGTAATGAAAGCTGTTTGTTGTAACTTGAACTTGAACTTTATCTTTTACTATGGGAGTCACTATTTATTATTACTTATGTGCTCTGTTCAAAACAGAGGTACAGAAATGGATCTTTTTATTTCTTTTTTTATTTTTATTATTATTTTTTTTAGGATGACCAAAGGTCATTAACAACCTGGCTTTTTTTTTGTTGTATTTGTTTCTGGTCTATGTTAAGTTCTATTGGAGAAACCACTGTCTGTGTTTTTTGGCAGTTGTCTGCATTATCCTGTTCACACACCCATTTTGTCCCTTTATTGAAAAAAATAATAAAAATTTTAAAGTATATTTGTTGATGTGGCTTTGGGTTCTCATTGATCTCCGTCCTGCTCAGGGCTGAGCGGTAGCGCATTTGGAAAGCCAGCCTAACTGGGTATTTTTCATATCAAGGGTGTATAGAAGCGCTGTCACTGAAGTATGAGTTTTCAGATACAGAGCCTGCCTTACATTATGGTAATTTGGGGGACTTTAAAGAGGTCTGGGGTCTTTCTGGTGGGCAGCTGTATCATAGAGACTTGCCTACAGTTGGCAGTAATTTAAATTTTTGCTGGCAGTCTAGCGTGTAGGGGCCTGGAGACGGCTCTCTTCCCCTCACCCTCCCGGCGGGGTGTTTTGGCTGCAGGGCAGGGACAGGGCGGTGTTTTAAACGCAGTGTTGGGAAGGCCACGGCGTAGTTGCTGTTGCCCTACCTGTTCTGCGGAGCAGCACAATTTCAGCTACGAGTGCTGTCAACCTGTCACTCTCGGTTGCTCGCAGTGCTGTCACATGTCTTACCAAAAAATCAGACTAACAGAGGTATGGTGTCTTCATTAGAGACACATTTATCTTTATCTCAGATTTAAAAAAAGGCAATGAGGTAGTAATTTGATACAGGTGTTGAATGCTGACCTTTTTTTTTTAAGAGGAAGTTGAGGAGGAGGAAGTTATGCAAAAATATGCAGCAGTGATGAGGAGTTCAACGCAAACATTATTCAGTTTGTCATAAGGGCTAAATCTGTTAGTTGTTGCAAATTATCCTTTCATATTCTTTGAAGTGTTAGTGCCTGTATATGCTACCCTGTTTACACATTTATTTTCAATGAGACCAAATTTATTCTTAGTTTTTCGGAAATTCTGCTGGGGTGAAAGAAACCACTTTCAACGGGCTGCACCGTTTTGTGGACGTGTAAGAGCAGACGCAACGAACTAAGCCTCTTGCTTGCTGAATGACAATATACCCTTTTACCCATTCAAATGACACATTTTATTAAAACATCGGCAGCTTCTTTATTCACTGTTAACAATGCTACAGAACACGACATGAAAATAATAAAACAAATCGGTGACATTTTTCTAACAGTGTGATAAATTAATTGTGTTGTAAAACCATGAACCACTGGGGTCTTTTCAGGTTTATTACAGTTCCAGAAACCCATTTATTTGAAAAGTATAATGTGTTTGGCAGTTATAAAAATCTATACAAGCATGACCCACTGTCCCTATAAAGTTAAATGAAATTTTTATTCCATTGTTGAAAGATGCTCAGGTAAACTAGAATAAAAATAATGAAAACTCTTCAAGGCGTTGTAAATTTCAAGTGCCTGAGTATGCCTAGTTTCAGATTTGGCCTTAAAGTCAAGTAGTGGGAAGTGTGAGATGTTCTGGTGACTAAACAGTGCCGGGATCTTGCCCTTTTTTGTGGTTTATAAATGCAGGTACTTTTGCAGTATCTTCCTTCTCTCAGAAGGTTTCTACTAAGAAAGGAGAATTCAGAAAATAACAGGAAGAATGCTGAATTCTTGAGGGAGATGTGGTTTTCCATTAATTTAATAACACCATTTGTGTACTGCAGAATAGAATGTCTTATTGGAAGGAACTCGCACATGTTAATATGCAATCTCATTTTTGCTTAAAGATTGTGATGGCAGTTCCAGTCTTTGTTGTGACTATTGTGATGTCCATGAAGAAGAAACTTGTGCCAGGATGTGTGCCCGTGAAAAGTAGTTCAACGACTTTTTTGGCATGTTGTGGTATGCAAGGATGCTGATGTAAATTAAAACTAGAAAAGAAACTCAACCTATAAGCCATGCATGTGGAACAAATAATTGATATCCTGCGTCCCTGATTTTTCTTCTCCTGACAGCTGGTTTATAATAGTATATGTCATGATTAACAAGAAGCCTTACTGTACGAATTTCACACAGACAGCTTGTGGGAAGCTTTATGTTATCTGGTAGCGTGTTTGAGCTGACTCCAGATGGGAGGGCAGACAGAAATGGTGCAGGAATATACTCTCAGTTTCCAGCAGTGGAAGATCACCTTTTGTGGGAGAGTGGCACCAACATGCCGCTGTGTGATAGTATGAATAATACAGCACAACCTTTTCCCTGCAAGTCAAACTGCGTGTGTAGGCTATGGTCATCACTCAGACCACTTACACATCTGTGTTTACACGACACTGGTCAACCCCAGATAAAGAGCAATGTAAAAAGCCTCTTCAAACTGTGAGCATCCACACTCAGCCCTTATTATAAGGTTTTCTGATGTGAGGATACCACTGATGAAGCTACTCTACCTTGGCTGTCAACTACATTAAATCCCATTAAATTTGCCTTCATTACAACACACACCTCATTATTAAATGCACAGCACTTGCTCCCCCCATATTGCTCCTCTAGTGATTTAATGATGAGGTTAGTGACAGCATTATTGCAAAGAATTATGAGAAATGGTTAATCCATTTCTAAAGCGAAGCTCTAACCAAAGCATTATATTCTTAAACAACCTGTACGTTGCTGAAAGCTGGCAGCGCATTAAAACCAGTATAGAAATGCACTGTTTTTTTAATAGTTTTAGAAGTAGATTCCTCAGTTTTTTTTAATGGTATCTGGAAGGCTTCCTTGACTCATTGCTGAAAGTGCCCTTTTTGGGTTAACCGTTGTTCAGTGAGATGATACGTGAACGCAAAACTGAAACTCTAGATCACTGCTTCTTATTTTTAGTTTTGCATGGAACAGAGTGCCTAAGGGGGGTACCTGTCACCAGAAGATGGAGATAATCCCTCTGAACACTCTAGGAAGACAGGTGGTAGATACACCCACTCTTACGGCAGTCGTTCACCAGCTCAACAACACAAGCAAGAATGCAGTAACCAACAGCACGATTCATTAACTGCTTACAGCACACACGTTTTTTCTATTATGCTTCCCCAGGTCGTTTTTTTCTTTGTGTTTCACTCTCATCTTAAGTTTACAA